CCCCACCCCCCCAGCACTGCCCCTGCCCTCTACACCCCTCCAACCCACACCTGAGCTTCCCCTCGGGGTTGGGGGGGGGCAGCTGGAGCTCTGAGCCACAACTTTTAGAAATTTGAAGTTGTTTTGCTCATTATTCCAGAGCACAGGCTCACCTGCCTCTTGAGGTGAGGCCTGCCAGGTCCTGCAGCACCTCCCTGCCTTACTGAAGGAGTTTAGTCTGGATTTAGTAGCAGCTGCTCCTGCTCTTCTTACAGCAGGGTTTAACTGCGGGGGTAACTTGCAGGAGTTTTTCCCCTTTCTTTGAAAAGACCCAGGCAGGGAGGGGTGTCTGGGGCCAGGTGCAGGACACATGTAAATGGGAACAAAGTACCACAGCCGGAGGGAAGAAGTTCCATCCTCCTGTTGCTGAGGGAGGAGTTGGGGATGTGCTCAGCTGCAGCTCCCAGCAACCAGCTGAGACAGACTCCTCTGAAATATTTTCAGAGGCTGGATCTCCCCTCAGTCTCTCAGGGCCTGTTGGGGCAGGATCAAGGCTCTAACTGCAGAGTTCACTGAAATCTTAAACCTAACATTTGAAGCACTTTCTGTAACTCCAAAGAGGAGTCCTCCTTACTCTTTATGAGATACTAAAACTTGTGGTGCTTGCAGGAGAGCAATTCCAAGGCAAAAAAAAACCCTTCTACTAGACAAAAGGAAACTTTAGAAGTTCCAGGTTTTGCTTTCCAAGTCATCCTGTTACACCCACTGTCACATCTTGTTCTTTAAATGAGCACAGTTCTGGATTTAGGAGAGAAAACTTATGTCATTACTGAATGACTCAGAAAAGGTGCTATTACTTTTTGGCAGTTTTATGCTGTGATAATCTGTATCATCAGTAAGTTACTTTACAGATTTCTATTTGTTAGAAGTGTAATATATTTCTATTTACCAGAAATCCCTGAGGAAAAAGAAACACAAAAATACTACAAAATACTGAATTTCTCCCTCCCTCCTGCCCATGGAGCTGTTTCTAACCTGAGCCCCAGGTCAACAGCGGAAGGTCCATGTCCTTCCCCCACAGCTGTTCCACAATCCAACAGCTCCTGTCGATGAGGAAAAGGCAGGATTTTATTTAAAAACTGACCCACAAAATGCCTCTGGCACAATGCAGCAGTGTGAGCTTGTCCCTTCAGATCACCCTCGATGGTGTAGATAGATCCTGACAAGTGCTGTGACTGAACAGGTAAACCCACACTTTCCACATGTTGAACAGTTTCAGAATCAAACAGCGTATTTTGGTCTTTATTCTAACAAATGATACAACCAAAAATTACTATTAGTGAAGGTAAGTTAAAAACATGGACCAGACAACTAGTAAAATGCAAAAAAAGTGACGTTGTTTCCATGATAATTACAAATTGTAAGGAAAGTAAATGTGAAACTGCAGCATTACAGGAAATTTGTTAATACAGATTAAATAATGCAGTTACCCTTGCATGAATTACAAATCAAGAACAGACATTTAAAAAAAAACCAGACAGTTGCTTTGAATATCAACTTAACAAGGTGGGTTTCCAGCACAAATATATCCCAAGTTTTTTGTAACAAATCAATACATAAATCAAGAATCGCAGTAAAGTGAGTACAGTGACTGGAACAGCAGCTCCTTGAGAGGAAAAAGAAAACTCATTCCCTTTGCCACAAATTAAAGCAAGATTTTGGAAGACCAGTAAAACAGTTTGGTTAAAAAACAACCCCAGGAATTCATTTGCAACAATTTCTTATTTCAGTTTGCTAAAATGAATGGCTGTCTTAATATTTATTTGTAAAAAAAGAAAAAAAAACCAACCACCCTCACAGCCATCAGAAAGAAAAAAAAGAAACAAGAAGTGGTGAGGTCTGGCAGAAGCAGAGCCCCGTCTCCCGCAGCCCTGGGCCGGAGGTCTCCTCCTCGCCAGGCGCCCGCGCTCGGCTCCGCGCCCCCCGGCACGGCCCGTGTCCCCCCGCTGCCAAGGGTGCTCCGAGTCCCCCAGACAGGCCCAGGGAGCGCTGGGCTGGGACCCCCTGCACAACCCTGCGGGGGGGTGTTCCCCCTGCAGGGCGCCAGACCTGACCTCCACGCCCAACCGTGGCCTTAAGGAAAAAAATAAGGGGGGGAAAAAAAAAACCACAAAACATCAAAAATTAAGTTCTGCTAGATCAAACCCGCTAGAAAAATAAAATTCCCCAAAGCTGTGTGACTGGGAGGTGGAGCGGTGGTGCTGCCCCCAGCACAGCTGCGGGTCCCTCGGCGCTGGGAACACTTGGGCCACCCCAGCACCGGGCGAACGGCCCCGCAAGGAAACCAAGTCTGAGGGGTGAAACATTTATACGGGTGTGAACAGTCAGCAAAGAACCACCCCAGGGTCGGGCCGCCCTCCCTGTGCGCCTGCAGAGCGCTGCAGTTGTGCCGGGAGGCAAGTCCCGAAGTTAGGCTCAGCCTAACGTCCCTCCTGCCGATGGATCCCTGCAGCGTATCCATCGGGAAACTCTGTCCCTACACTTCAAAGTTCCCAAACTCGGCACTAGGAATGTTTTAGACAGAAAACACATCACCGAAAGTCGGAAGGGACCAAGAAACACTTCCCCGAGTTGTACTTTGTGAGGCTGTCGCAGGAATCTGGAAACAGTCACCGAACCGGACAGGACAACCTGGCCAGAGGCGGATGGTTCGGCTCCACCGTGAGCAGGAGCGAAGCGGGGGTTGTTCGCCGTGACAACGTCAAAGGGCCACAGGCAACCCAGGCTGTGCCCGCGCCTCTCTGCCCACACGCCAACAGAGCAAGCCTCAATACGGCAACCCGCTATAAAAAGTGTCTGCAAATCTTAAAATGTACCAAAGTTAGTAGGTGTGTCATGAAGGTTAAAAACAAAAAAAAACCTCAAAACAACAAAGTCTGAGCCAGAGTCCATGGAAATCACAGAAAACATTTCCACAAACTGCAGTGGGTTTGGAGTCAGACACCTCATTTGCCACCAGAACACGACAGGGGCTGTTCCGCAGGCAGACGGACGTGCAGAACCTGCCGTTTTCACGTGAGGCCACACAAAAAGCTTTGTTCTTATTTAAAAAGTCTAGAATCCAGCCCACTGCAGGCGCCTAAACCACACAGCGCCTGCTACGCGCGCTCCTTCCCACGCCAGCAAGCTCTGCGACGGGCCCGTGGGGTAACCAGAAAAGCAGAGCTACGCAGGACACACGGTTCTTGCCCCGTAACACCGAACAAGGGTTCGCGACGTGCACCTCACGGAGGTTTGCTGCAGCTGCCACACGCCTCGGCGCTCCCGGCCAGCACCCGCGCTCGCTTCCGCTCCCCACCCGGCACGAGACCCGATCTGGCAGCGCCGCACAAAACCTCCCACCCCGCCACTGGCTTCTGTAGAAGGGGGCGACGGGAGAAATCTGGATTTGGCCCCATGGACGCTTCACCCTGACCTGCAGCACGAGAACCCGGTCTCTAGGGCCGCTGGGGGGATCTCGGCTGGTTCTAAGAGGAGCGTGAGGACAGGGCTGACTCACACCAGAGATGTAAAACACTTCAGGAATTCATGACGACTTGGAAGGACAAGTTTATCATTCCTACCCACTGTTCAACATCTGCTACTGATACAGTACTTCAAAAGCAATCACGACTCTACACTTCCCTTTGCCCTTTCCCCCCGCCGACGGGTTTATTTCCGATTTGATTCTGAGTTAACAACTCCAGCGTATCGACCGCAGGCTGCAAAGCGAGCGTTACTCACCCGGCCGCTGGCGGGTTCGGGTCAGAGAGGATCAACCTCCCCGCCCCCCCCCTCAGCTCCGCTGTACTTGGCCGACGGGCCGAGCTCTGCTGTCGGAGCGGGTACCCAGCAACTCCAGAGCAGCCTCACGGGGTTCTGCACCGACGGGCTCCCCAGGTTCTGAAGGAACGTCTGTGTCAGAGGTGCACGTCCGCGTCCTGCCTGTGCCTGACCACTCAGCTTTATTGCCTTGGGACGAGCCGTCTCCGCTTACCCCCTGCACCGTTAGTTAGGTTGGTTACCTTTACTAAGCATTGATGGTACTCTTTATTATAAAGTTTGAGACTTAACTCTATGGATTTCCAGAAAAAGTTTTAACTACAGTGCACAAAGAATATAATTTTGAAAATATTTACATTTCTGTACAATTACACCACAGCACTTTAATCTAAATTTCTTAATACAAACAAATAGCACCATTAGCCTTTTGCACAAATTCTTTCTAACCAACCAAAAAGCTGGATTATTATTGTCAAATGAGGAGACTGGAACCACTTGGAATGAGAATAAACTCAAGCAGCCAGAGTACTGAAAAGCCTACCTACCCAGAACAGCAAGAGGAAGGAAGTTAATCTGGAAACATCCCAAGCATTTGCAAAGAAAATCTTCCCACGTGAGCCCTATTCAATGTGCACTACAATTAAACTAACTTCGAGAGAAACTTTTTCTTATGTGAAGATTCAACACTTGAGCTTGTTGTTCCTGTGACTCTTTCCACGCAGCCCGTGTTTCTGCGGGGCCGCGCAAGGCAAACACCAGATAACCCAGCTGACGCTCACCCCATGTGGAGCAAGTCTCCCAAGTGGGTGTGAAAAAAAAAAAAAAAGAATTAAAAAAGTGACCGTTTCTAGCTAATGAGCCTCCGAGCACGGTAACGAACACAGCAGCCCGGGGGCAGGGGGACTTCTGAGGCAGCAGGATGGAGAGAAGTGCCGAGGCAGCGAGAGGAAGATGAAGGAAGAGCTCGGTGAGGAAGTTACGGGTTCAGAGAGGCAGAGAGCGCCACGACGGGCTGCACTACGGTGCTGGAGGAGGTACCTTATTCCCTGCAGAGCAAATGCTATTTCTGACGTGTAGTGCAGCATGAAAATGCAACTGTTTAATGGTTACCATTTGGTTCATTCCTCTACAGAAAATGCATTCCTTCTAATATACGTTCAACTAACATTCAAATTACTGAACTATACATAATGATACATAGTTTACAATTCATGAAAACAAAGCTTGAAAGAATATAATATGGTCAGCTTAAGTATGGTGGGATGTTTTATAGGGCTAATATCCAGCCAAGGACATTTCAACTTTTATGCTAATGGTCCAAGAGTGCTTTTTGTATCACCAAGAAATGTAAAAAATTTAAAAACGAATGACAGTCCTCACAGCTGTTAAGTATTCTCTGGGTCACGGCGGTGTCAGACTACCACGCTTGCAGTACTGGATGTATAAAAGTGTGAACGACACATCAGGAGACTTGCTGTAAATCAGGAACTAGATTAGATGCCCATTACAGTATCAGCACATCAGCCATTTGATGCATGATCCCTTTTCTTCTGGATTGTTAAGTTTATCCCTTCCTTTACGACCCACTTTTCTATCTCTATCTGTGGGCTATTTGCATCCATTTGCTCTCACTGTGGTACGCTGGTATTGTTATTCACCCTTCACCTTCCAGGTTAGTTAGAGATCAGGGAAACGGCTGGGGTCCTCCTTGTAGTCATCAGGAATAGTGAAGATGGACTCGTCAAATTCATCGTAACGGAACTCCTGAAAAGTCACAGTGGCTGTGATGGTGGGAAATACAGGAATATCTAGATAGGAGGCAAAACGGCACAATGAAGAGAAAGGAAATCCAGGCTTACCAGGAATTACCAACTCTTACTTAGACCTGGAACTTCGGACTTGCTGAAGACTTAGAAACTTGTTCAGTATCCTACACAGCGGGGATTCAAAGCTCTTAAAAAAGGAGGTGGTTTAGAGAAAGTTATTTCAGAATATACTCGGATACCTGAGTGCAGAAGCACCACCAGACTCAACACACCATTCAGAAAACTGTTAAACGTTGTTAACTGAATGGTTTTCCTTCCCCGATGCCGACTGACGACTTGGAAACCAAGGTGCTGTGGACAGGGGGATCAGTCTGGTACAACGGGGGATGCTGGCTGCAGGTGATACAAGGGAAAGCCACCTCGTCACACGCGGGCTTCAGCTGAGCAAATCCACGTGGAAAGACGAAGGTCGTTTGCTTTACAGTACAACCCTTTGCCAATCTGAACTGAGGTTGAACACCTAAAGAGGAAAACTGTCTTGCCCGTGAACTATCTTAATGAGCTAAACAAAAATTCAGTGCTCAAGAAACAGAGGAAATATGATGGGAGGTACAATACAGTCTGTGCAGAACTGTCGAGCCTAAACAGCTTAAAACCAGTACACAAGAAATCCTGTAGCACTTACAAAAGGGGCTATTACTTTTTGGCAGTTTATCCTCTGATAAACTATATCATGAATAAATTGCTTTATAAATTTCCATCTGTTAGAAGTATAATAGTTTTCGATTTACCTGTAAGTAAAAAATATATTACCAGTAACCCCTGAGGAATGAGAAATACAAAAATGCTACAAAATACGGAGATCATCTCTTAACACAAGGATAATCCAGCACATCTACCTCACTCAGAGCAAGACCCCGGCATTAGGAAAACGTAAATTACAGAGCTCTCTTCCTGACTAGGGCTACACTCACCTCTCAGCTCCCCATTTCCCACCTGGTGTTACTCCACTAACTTAACTATGTTCTCTTGAAATCCACAGCAACACATTCTTATGCAAGAGTTCCTTTTCCAAAACCCAACAGAACTTCTCAATGTATTCCATGAACAAGCACACGCATTTTTGAAAATATAAAGCCACAAGAGTTGTTGTGGTCATCTTACCTAATTTGACAGGAAAGCCTGGTGGAAGCTTCATCTGAACAAATTCTCTAAGTTTGTTAAAGTGCTTGAAGGGTGCAATTACTTCTAAAACATTCAACAATCTGGAAAGGAAAACGGATTCATTACGAACTCCCCTTTCGCAAGCTTTCCCTCTAGAAAAGAGAAAAATGACCCGAAGAGCAAGGTGATAAAAGAGGAGTCGATAAACTGCACCGTGCTTATAGATCTCTCTCCTTAGAGCTCCAGTATCAGCACCCCCACAGGCAGTTCTGTGATCCACGCTGTATCGCCACCGGCCCACAAATTAACACCCAGACGCTCATTTCTCGTCCTCCCCTCCTTTCACAGAGGAGACTGCAGCACGTCCTACCACACCCTCTTCTCCACGGACACAAGGAACCTGGCAGGGTTTTGTATTGGTTTAAGGGACAAAACTTTGTGCTGAAACTTGTTCTGGGCAAGAACGTTTCAGAATTCTGTGGAATCAGGCACACCAGTATGGTGACAGGTTAACGATAAACCTGCTCAAACCTCCGGCCTTATCGAGGAAGATAAACACTCGGCCCTGCCTGTAACAGGCACGCCAGCACAGAGGTCTCCGATTTTAACAGTTTACTTCCTTAACAGCATGACTTCAGCCACAGGTTTTAAACTGCCGAATTCCCAGTTCTGAAGAGATGAAGAATTCTGCAAGTTCCTAAACACATTAAAGCAATTCCTGCACATAAATAACATCCACGGCCAGTAATTTTGACTTACGATTCAATTCCTAAGGGAAATTCCTGGCTCATAGCTATCGTGGCTTTAAAGGTTTTCTTGCTTTCTTTGCAGACCAGCTCTCTACCCAGATGAGGAGCTCTGTAAGGGGGAGGAAAGACAGGCAGTTTTTCTCTCAGTGAAACCTTGCTTTTAAAGGAAGGAAGAAAAACGTCTTTAAGGAAGGAAAAAAGGAATGTTTGAAAACATCGGTAAAGAATCCCCACAATAAAGCAAATGCTTTAAAAGTAAAAGCTGTACATAGTAAATGTGAGTCAGTAATTTAGATTACTATGAAGTTCTGCTAAATCGGGAGACAAGATAAACACAGGGAAAGGACTTACGAAAAAAATCTTCAAATAATTCCTCATAAACATTAATAAAGGCTACAGAAAGACCACTACCCAGAAATACATGCACAGCTGATTCCAGATGTTAACTAAAACCGCCTATATGTGAGCAAAGTATCATGTTGAACTAGAAAAAGGTTAATCTGCTTTCAGTCTAAAATATAAAACAGTCTCAGAAAGTGGAAAAGTGACTCTACTCCCACTGGAAGGCAATACCGGGAAACACAGGCCAGAAAATTCGGTTATAGGAGAGGAACAGACAGGTGATGAGTAAGGTAACGAATCTTTTCCCCTTTTGCTTTGTATTAGCTAGAAACCTAGCCTTTCCATTAAAGTCCCCTCAGTTAATCAGATTAACAAAGCAACAGCTTTAAACAGTCCCAACAGCTGTTCAAGCATAACCTATTTCTTCTGCTCGAATATTCATTCCATCTCAAATACATTAAACTAGTTAAAAACAAACCAACCCACCCAAAACCACCCCAGCAGAGCCCCACACACCTTCTTAGGAAGCCTGGACTGTAATGTCACCATATTCCCCCGTAACAGCTGACTCCAGGCCAGCCTAAGATCTTCGGAGAAAGGACTTTGGTGTGACACACTCAGAACATTTTATGGTCCTTCTACATCCAACAGCTAGACAGCATGCAGTCCAAGAAAACAAACCCATCTTCTACAAATGAAACTACTGTAAATTAATCATAGCTGTTTGCTACCTAGTTACACACCTAGAGGAGTATCCTGCAAAGAGCTGGCCAGTACCAGATCTGCACACCCTTGTATTCCTGATGTCTGCACTTCTGTACACTGCCGCTGTACTAGACTCTCATTAAGTCATAAACTTTTATTCTAAACACGGTGAATTGGATTATTTATTACTATCATAAGATAAATGAATTAGAGCAATGAATTAGTCATAATGTTTATCACCAGCTGATGCAATAGAATGGTTTCCATGCACAGGTATCAGCTTCAGACACTTCAAAAGGCTGTGTAGGGACAGGACGAGGGGTGATGGTTTTAAATTGTCAGAGGGGAGATTTAGATGAGATCTGAGGCAGAAATTCTCCCCTGTGAGGGGGTGAGGCCCTGGCCCAGGCTGCCCAGAGAAGCTGTGGCTGCCCCCTCCCTGGCAGGGCTCAAGGCCAGGTTGGACAGGGCTTTGGGCACCCTGGGCTGGGGGAAGGTGGCCCTGCCCGGGGCAGGGGTGGCACTGGGTGGGCTTTGAGGTCTATCATCCAACCCAAACTATTCCATGATTCAGTGATTCCCAGCCAGACCACTGAGGAATGTTACAACATCCAAGACATCAAACCCAACGTTCCTCTGTCCCCAGACAACTATAAACAGAAAGCACCCACAGACTAGAGAGCACAAAACCCCCTCCCACCCCAACCCCAACATCTAAAGGCCTCTATGGAAGTTAATGTCAATAAAGCAAAAATACTCACTTCCCATTTTCAGCAGATATATACTCTTCCCACGTAATGGTATTGGGTGATGGCGGGGTAAGCGACTGCCGTCTGACGGGCTGTTCAGAAAACCATGGGAAAAAAAAAACAAACATGGCTTAACTCTTTCATCTGCCCTCATATCCTCTCAGAATTTTGCCCTTCAAAGACACAACTGCACTACAAAGAACAGCAGCACAGTCTATCTGTCTGCAGCTGACGCTTCCGTGGGCTTTGCCATCTCCTGCCCTTGCTCTCAGTCTCCATTGAAGGCATCTGGCCTCAAACTGTATTTTACATAAAATTGGCTATTTCAGTACATCAGCTAATCAGTTAATTCAAGTGTCTGAATGACAAGCAACAAAGCCCAAGCTAATACAGAAATAAATTAATCACTTTTAAAGGGCTGTACGCGTGTTCCCAGATGACTGGCTCATTCTGAATAGCTCTTGATTTCATGGTGCTAATAACAGGCTTAGTGCCATTTTAATGAAGCTAAAGGAAAACACGATTGAAAAGAAAACCAGACAGGCATTCTCAACAATAAACATTTGGTCTAAAAGAAGTTCAAGTGGTCTGCCACAGCCAACCCCTTCATGTTTTCCTAAGAGACAAATTAAGAATGAAATATCCAATATAACCACAGAAATTCCTCAATGTGTGCACTAATGAGGATAATTCATTAACGTATCACTGTGATTATACTTGCAGGTCGTATTTATTATTTTAAAATTAAGACAATCAAAGCAGAATAAAAACATCTATAGATTTTGCTAAATGACTCTGGTGTGAAAGATTATTCTCCTATGCAGAAATTCACATACTGTGAAGGATTACTGAAGTATACCTCAAAATTTTGTTCCATTAAGTTGCCACCTTTACTCAGGCTCTCCATGATAGCTTTATTTCGAAGAATATCCTCCTCACTCAGATGTTCTCTTCTTTTCCTTGATTCTAATACAAGTCCATTAACCAAGTAGAAATCTGCCAGAAAGTTTCCTACTCTTTCCTGCGTGAAAGGAATGGCACAGAAGATAAAATCACAGAAGATAAAATAAAAACATTTAAATGCTTGGATATCCAAATAATTGTACTTCAGTGAAATAACTTCGGGATTGAAATGTCGTGATTTACACAACCAAGCACACAGCTGGCGGTGGACAGTCCCAGGAAGGTATGTCCAGCACAAACACAAGGACTCTGTCAGGAACGGGTATTTCCTACCAATGGAAACTTTAAGACAGAAAAGATTGTTTAAGAATTTAAGAGTGGCCAAGGGAAATCTGATTGAAATTCCCTTCGACGGCAAGCTGTGCCAAAGGATAACCTGCATGTGTAGAACGTGGATTTGGTACTCAAAAGGCAGGAAGGTCTGAAACAGGAGCTCAGACGAAAACTTGCGATGAATGGCACTACCCGAACAGATCCAGATGAAAACCAACCCCTTCGGAGCTAGTCACAACATCACAATTTCTTGCTCAAAGAAGTCACAACAGTGGCCATTTCAAATGTTTTCACAGCTAAAAATCAGACTGATTCTTAGTCAGACTACAACACGGAAAGGGGCACCCGATGGAAACTCCCACCTCCCCGTGCTTCTGACACGGAAGCACACAGAATCCTCGCTGCAGGCTCAGGAATTAATCTGCAGAGACCACCTACTCCTACAATAAATTCATTTCCAGTACAAGCTCTTCTTCCCCCTGCCCAGCAACTACAGTTTGTTACCTTTTCTCCAGGCTACTTTTTTTTTTTCTGACAAAGGCAGTCCATCATACAGATTCTATGTGGTCAAACTCGTGACAATTAGGGGGGTGAGGGAGACATTTTTCCTCCATCCTGAACATCTTACTCTTTAACTCCTTGTTTCTTCCCAACCACATCCTCATAAGGCTGTCTGAACTACTCTGTCTCTAGTAATGCAGCCTGTCAAATTTTCCTTCCCGCTCACCGTTTTGTCTTCTCGAAAAAGCCACCCCGTCTGGGCACGCGTGAAGGTAATCGATTTGGTTGATAACGTCGCGGAGTAAATATCGCTGCTCATCAAAATGTCAACCTCCTCTTCTGTTTCCATCTCAGATTCCTAGAATGAAAATTCCCAAATATTACACAGAACTTAATAATAATGATTACTAGTTCTAAAAAAAACCAACCAAACAAAAAACCACCGACAACTTTGGGAGTTTTCCCAGAACTAACATCTGAATTTTCAAACTTTTATAGCAGCTCTGACCGGACGGTTACCAAATAGTTTAATCTTCAATATTAACGCAAAAGTCACACCCTTTCCGCAGGCAAAGATCCACATGCTGAAGTGACTGGCGGATAAAGCTCTGATTAAAAACTTGCCTCAACACAAAGGGTTCAAGGAGTCACACCCTTGCACTGTTAACTAAACTGGCCATGGACTAACCAGCTGCAAAGCAGTGGCACACAAGGTTGACAACCCACGTGAGGACACCTAAAGCCCACCAGGAAGACTAAAAGTAGCACACGTCAGAAATTAAAACATATTTGCCTATTCAGAATGATAAAAGACTTGTCCAAAAGATTCACATTCTAGCTTTTTCCTCACTTAGAAGTCTGCATTCAAAAGCACTGGGTTTTATAACAAAATTTTATGCCACCTATGCAGCTTCAGTTGTAACAGCTGAACAAAAAATTCGTTGGTTTGCATTTGTGGCGCTTGTTTGGGTCTTCCCGAGAGGCACGTTCTGTTTAACAAGGTCAGACTTCTGATGTGAAGTAAAAGCTCCTGGTATTTCACAGCCTGTATTCACGCAGTCCTTTACCTCATGATGTATTCGCTGGTAAACTTTTTGTTCATTGTCTAAAACTACAAAAGATTCAGAGGGTGCGGCATCACCGTTAAAAATGAAGCTTAAATCCCCTCGTTGGCACTTCATGTCGGTAAAGTCTATGAGAGTGGTGTCCAGCCTGGGAAAACACACCAATACTTTAGAAGTTACCCATAAACACTCAAATACACTAGTAAGTTCAATTTGCAAGCAGAACCTTTTTTTTTTTCCCCGCCCCCCAATCACAACCAAACACACTAAGGTCTAAGCTTTCATAGAATATTTCATAAGTGAAGCCTGGATGCAGAAATTAAAAAAAATCCTGTTATTAACAATTAATACGTTTCACATCGTAACACCTCTACCGTTATAAATGCATTCCAAACTATTCTGATGCTAACTTCATAGGACAAGGTAAAGTTTTCTGAAGAAAACTTTATTTCAGAACTGCCAGCATGAGGAGGTGACAGAATTTATACAGTTGGTATGTGCTACACATCGAAAGTACGACTACTCCGTGGGGTCAGCATCCTGTTCTACAAGAAGCAGCCACCAATTTGAGTAAGAATATTAGGACATGACCCAAATTTTGAAGAGGACTATGAAAGAGACTGATTTTTTTTTTTTTTTTTAATTTGACTTATTTTAGTTGCTATTTCTATTTTTTTTTCCCCTCACCACCACAAAAAGAAATGCTTCTGCTGACCTGAATAACTACAAGAGGGAGCCAAGGACAGAGATCTCTCTAGCAATTCATACTCATTAGTGCTACAATAATTTCCTCTTTAACAAGGATGGTTAAAGAATCTGAATTTAGTGACCACTTGAGCTCTAAGGGGTGACTGCTTAATGCTCATCATATATTGGCCTGATTTCAAGAAAGAATCTGTAGCTATTTCTACTCAGCATTGTAACTCCTGGTCTCGTAAAAGCAGAGCACACAGAAATGAGAAGAAAAAAAAAAAAAAAAGGTCTCAGGCTCAAATCTGACCTAAGACTCCAGTTCACATGCCTATGCTAACAGCTTTAATAGAACAAAATCTTCGACAGTTTAAATCTTCTGAATCATATTGTTGACTTTTTGTTTGTTTTAAACTTTGGAACCTAAAGACAAAGACAGAAAAGACATTTGAATCCAAATCCCCAAACTAAACCAGTTAAAGAGCCGAGCTTGGAAAGACTCCTGGAAGCTCTCTATTGAGTTTGTGAGTTTGCCTTGTTAAGCATTTTAAAAAAAGAGAAACTATACCACTTTTTTTTTTTTTTTTTTTTAACGACACAGACTGGAGCAGCAGCATTTCTCCACAAAAACACCAGAAGTTTATTTATTTGAAATTGTGTTAAAGATACCAAATTCCTATTTTTCAAATTAATCACTGCCATGTCTGGTAGATAAAGCCTTACACAGCTTAACTGCTTTTGCTTTTTAAGTGACTAAGGAACTGAAGGTAAATTCAGATCAAGAGAGGAAAAAAAAAAAAGTCTGAAGTTCAGACCTCTTCTTGCCCCTGAACCTGTGTACAAACACAAAGATGTTTCCCAAACGTTTGCAGACTCCCCAGTGATTTCTTTCAGACCACGCTGGAACCCAGCACGCTCACACAGGTGCAGATATTCATGACTTGTAAAATCAGTACTCACCTGATATTTATACCTTGTTTGTGTATTTTACATGCATCAGAAGGCAGAATTCGGGAAAGTAAAGGCACTAAAGGTAGGGAGAGAGAATGCAATTAGGACACTGAGGTTCCTCTGCAAAGTATTTCTAGTAGAACTACACATCAGTCTGAATCTTGATGGATTTTAATACAGCAAACCCATTTTCCATCATAATCTCAATACAAATACAACTGACTAATACCAGGGTTATTTCTGGTCAATAACTGCAAAAATCAGTTTGTAATTGTACAGACTGCTTTCAGCATCAGGACATAATCTGAAGTGTCCTCAGCCACAGCTAGAGCATTTATAACTGTTAGCAACTCTTCTTCTAGCTGTCTGAAATTTTAACTCTACACTTTGATATTTTACTTATATATTGTACCAACTGAAAGCCTAGCTACAATTGAAGCAGAACATCCACAAGCATTTAAAAAAAAAAATAAAAAAAATCCAATATACTAAGCTTAAAACATCAGGCTAACATTAAACCACCGGTGGAGCTGGGAGTCAGTATGGTCTTACGAGATGGATACGTCAGACTGCAGCTGCTCTTATTCTAAAAGGGACCGTTTACTTTCTAGCAATAAAACTAATTCGACACAAGGGCATTTCAACACTTTTTTCAAAACGAACTACAAAGAAATAAGACCACCTGTAAAATGTAATTAGCCCAGAGGGCCAGTAATTGGGAGGGGCACTGCCCAGAGCATCTCTTTCCCTTCAAGAAAGGGAATGCATAGAGGAAACTAAAGAATGTAAACAGAGGGACAGTGAGGCGCTGGGAGAAGACCCCTAGAAGCTGGCTTTACCTCTGGCATCACTTCTGTGGGATGCCTGACTGCCACCATCGTGCTCTGCAAGCCAGGCTGCAGCCTCATCACCAAGCAATGCCTTATCTTACTCCACACCTGGCTCGACTCTCTTTTATGCTGACTCTGCCACGGAAAAGTCCGCTCAGTAAATGTGCGGCACACAGGAGGCCACCTAGACAAACGAGGCGTTTGTTCCGTATCTGTTCAACGTTTGACGTCAGCCTGGGTGCTCATTCCTCCTCTGGATACTGGAAGAGGCCTAGAGAGCAGCAAATACCCCGCCTCCAGGAAAGTATGTCAAGTTACTGATTTAAATTTCACCCCGTAACAGAAGGGATCGCTTCCAATATTCTGACATTATTCAGACATGTCGATCACTGTTCATAAATTTTTGCTAATTTATTTAGATCTTTCTTCTGCAGATAAGAGGAGATGGAAACTGAGAAAACACTAGATGTTATACGGTCACATAAAAGAAACATTACGGTGACACTCGGGCTTGAAGAACCTACCCTGTAGTTGCACTTAACCAACAGTCACCATTCAGAGTACGGGCTGAAATTCAGGAAATTAAATGCCCCAAGTCCAGTTACTCAACTAAATAGTTCAAACCACCACTCTACAGTGACACCAAATCCACCAGAACGAGACATTTTAATATTTCACTCTTCTAATAAACAATTTCTTAAAGTAAACAACAGCTTGTTCCCCCCCCACACTGTCTCACTGGATTACAGAATATAATCCAGACCCAAAAATAAGCACAAATAACTCAGGAAAAAAGGTTGTCTTCAGCCTGCTGAAGACTGATTATATTATTTCCCTATGAAAGGAATATGCAATTGCTTACCCCAACTTTGAAAATCCCAGTGAAGCTCTAGATAGAAGTCACCTAGCTGAGATGAAAAGAATATGTTAACAAACCTTTTAGTCTAAATGACAACTGTACAACTTCCTGGAAGACAGCAGTTGTGTTCTGCCAAACAAAGCTTTTTCCTCTAATGTTAAGTTCAGTATAAATGCAAACACTAAAACATTTCTGAAATTTTAACTAGAGTAGAATCAATAACGATAAACTACATAACTCATCTGAGCTATTCATTTTAAATTATTTTTTTAAAAATAATAATTTACACAGCTATTAAGATGTGGATTGTAAAAGATTTATTGTAAATATGTGTTTAAAAAAAGGCCTGTGGAGCTCTCGCTTTGTTTGGTCACATCCAATCCCATAAAATTCTATGTTCTGACTTCAATTAACGAGTCAAGTTTCAGCTAGGAGTATCCACATGCACAGATTTCAGTTTGCCTTCTGGAAACATGCTTAAGTCATCACATAAAAATTAATCTACCTCCACAAACACAGGCTGGCCAACTCCTTTGAACTGTATGCAAAGCAAAAGCAAAGTATGGGGTGACTTGACTAAAATTAGCAAACGTTGGTACTACACTGAGGTAGCCACGTACTTCCACTCCACGCAGGAAGAAAAATAGGCAACTCTAGGCCAGGTCTTGCACCAGCAGGAATAAGGAACAGCAGAGCTGGTTTAGTAAGGCTTGGTCTGCTTTCTGTTTGCTCTCACACAAAACCAGAAAGCTTTTCACTTCTAGACAGACAGCAGTTGGTTTTTTTCTTGGATCAACGGAAAACGCAGGAGCACTGGCAGAGGGTATTCACAGGGTGTATCGCTGACGCAGTTCAGCTCAGCTTTTCAGATGTATGGTTTAAGATAAATAGTTGGTTTTCTGCAAACCTATTCATATTTTACCGCTTGACTAGGCAGGAGAAGCTCACCCCACCTAAAGGGAAATAAACACCTCCGTTTTATAAGCACAGTTTTAGCACACTAGCAGCAGTTTGAAGCAGAGGAAACTGAGCTTTTCTTCTTGGTTTCCCTAAACTGAGGAATGTTTCTCTGTGCTCGAGAAGAATTGGCTGCTGCACGTAGACGGAGAATTAAACCAAAAAGTCTCTTTGGTTACTAAGCAAGAAAAGAAAGTGTCATTCATGACTAAACAAAACCAGTAGATTGTTCACCAAAACAGAAGATTTAAGAAAGCCTTAAAAAAAATCTAATTAAATAAATGCAGATTAAAAATATGGTTTTTTAACTTTTAGATTACAAAGAAGATTAGCAGGTCTGCCTCACATAAACCTTTTTATTTGAATTTCTAAAAGTTGAGAAGGAAGTATTATCTTAAAAGTACACATAATTCTCTGACCCCTTAAGATGGACACTCTAAGCCAAGACTGCTACTAAGAGCCAAAGAGATTTGTAAAAGCAAGTAAAAAAAAACAAAACCAAACCAACAACTTTTTTACGGTTTGCCAGAGCATCCAGACGAAGAACATAAGCCACTGCTCTCCATCGCATTGCGTTTTTGTCAACACAACCGCCCTGCACGTACCTCTTTCAGGGCTTTTAATAATCGAGGTCGCTTTTCTTCAACACTTTCCCTGGACTGCTGTTTAAGCTTCCTCAGGAGTGCTGTAACTAAACAGAAATCAACTATGAGGTAAATCTATTCCACCTCTTCCTTAACTACGGGTTAGCGACGTTATTTGACATCTTAAAGAAAAAAAAAACAATGCGAATGTAACATTTCGTGAGACTTTGGGAGAAATTCACTTCAGGTTATAGTAATTATACATAGCCTACTCTGATCACAACAGGAAGAAAAGCCTCAACAATTGTTTATAATTTAAAGCATACAATTACGTCAAGAGGTCTTTTACACATGTGCCAGTAAACATGTGGGTACACATGTGTGTTACTGAACAGGAGCCTACAGACTGGCATAACATCCACTCCCACAAGAAAACTCTTCAGTAGTGAGGAGCTGACATGCAGTATGTTGTTAGTATATTACAAACTAGTGCATTAATTATATTAATAATGTTTATATATATATAGTGAGTTTGCTGCAATGGGACACGGTAATACCAAATACTATTAACATCCAGTAGTGAGCAGCACTAGAATAATTTTCCCTTTACTACTTCATATCTGAAGTGAATAAATATTTGCCTACTGGCCTGTTGAGATGCAACATAAAAGCAACATCCCACTGCCAACCAGTACGTCCAGTCTCCATACAGCCACACGGACCAGTTCCAATTAGACGATCCCACATGGCCAAAACCCATTCTGAGCTTCTAACTCCAATTTTAAATACAGAATGCTCGTTGAGAGCTTTTACAGTCACTTTAAACAAAATCTTAATTCTACTTAGGATCATGTATCCTAATGCAATTTCTTTCTTATCAGGGAAAGGGGTATGTGTAGAGCTTGCTCTATCACATTAGATATAAAAATGTTCAGTTGATTAAGACAAACTCTTCAGAGAACTAAAACTGGAGTATTATAAGACCCCCCCTAGCTTGAAAACCTTTGTTTTCCTGTTCTGAATGAGGCCACAGTTTCTCATTAATTGGGAAGGAGAAGTTCTTACTCATTTGTCTGTCTCCATAGCTGATGGCTTCTGCAAGAGGGCTCCATCCCTGAGCATTTTTCACCTTTACTGGAGCATTGTGGGCTAAAAGCAAGTGGGCACATTCTGTAACAGAATAGCAGTAATTATTCACAGTAAGTATCAGGGATGTAGCAATATCATTCGTAATAAAGCAAACAATAATAAAGCAAAAGTAGTAATTTTCAATATATTAAACAGTTTATCAAAATACGTATCTGGATTCTGACTCAAACCTTAAACAAGCAAAGCATTTATGGAAGTACTTACAGCACTTCCCTGTTAATCATTAGCACTGAAAACATAATTGGTTATCAACCATCAATTACATAACCACTGAAGGAACATCCCTTCTGCTTTAGGTTTTGCTTTTCATAAAGCTGTATTTCGGTATGTGCACACACTCACACACACACGACTATACGGCAATCATCTTTAAAACATGACATCAGCTCTCTCCACCTCACGCACAAAGCCACGTCCCAAGACGCACTCCCTGGCCTTCCTCACGTGGAAGCTGTGCACCATCCTCCCCCTCTGTGCTGCAAACCCCCTTCGCCCAAAGGCCAGCAGCGACCTGATCTGCTGGAAAGGAGACGCAGAGCTCGGGGGGCTCCTGCACGGCGCGTGCACGGGAGGCAGAGGGGGAGCCACGGCACCAACACACCCCCACGTGCGGCACCACCGCACCTAACACGGCACCCAAAGCAGGGGAGGGAGCACGCTCCGACCTAGGAAAGCCTCAGAACATGTGTCAAACCGGCTGTACGGGTAACAGGTGTCATGGGACGAACACCCGGCGCGCTGGTAACAGAGATACAACCCACGGACCCCTGCTCCCTCAGGAACGTTGTTACAGGCTCCATTTTCCATCAGCAGCATCAGTAAGAGTGTGCATCAGCGCTCACACTGTGCCGATGAAGCAACAGCAACATCTCAAAGCCACGCCAGTTCCCAGCAGTCACAGCTCAACCCCCACTTCCTTCTCTTGTCTACAGGTAAAAGGTGACGGTGGAATGATGAACAGTCCTTAAAATTAACGGGAAAAGAAAGCTTTCAGTGTTTCCGTGCTCGTTTGTTCTTCAGTTTCTATCTACAGAAAGTTTCCTCACCACATCTCATGAAAAGCAACCTGTCCCATCTGCAAATGAGGGAGCAGCTCCAAGCTGGGGCTGTGGGCTGAAGAGATGTCTCATCACCACCAGGACGGGCAGGCGTGACGGACAGAGCAACTTCCTGGGTTATTCTCCTACTCTAGGTATTACAGGAAACCCTACGGGTCGTTCCAGATGCACCAATCCTGAGTCACTGGCAAGCACAGTGTTTGGAAAGGAAGAGATACTTCACTGGTGAATATACCATCTTCTGTGGCAAATAAACAAAAGCCCCGACTACTTTGTCAGCAAACACAGAGAGGTATTTTTATGGTTGCTTAAATAAAGCACCTAACAATAACAACACTGTACAGCGAGCAGGCAAATACATTTGTGTTCACCAGCCAGATTACATTTGCAGTTAAACAAACAGGATGTAAATTCACCCTGCACTTCAGAAAAGGCCGGCTGTAACAGCCGAGCAGCCTGTACACATCACCCCAGACTGACACGGAACTGACCTTCGACAGCAAGGAGACAAACAAGGTAAGAAAGGACCCGGGGTTCTCACCAGATCAACGACTACGCAGGATTCAAAGTCGAAACAGTAAAAGCAGGTATTGTGGGGATGTGTCACGCACACAGAGACCCGCTCCAGGCAAGGCAGCCAAAGGCTCACTGCGAGCACCCCGGAGGATTTACACACTGGGTGACTGACTAGAAGCCAGAAGGTGAACTGCAAACTGAAATCTAAAACGTGCAGGCAATGAGAACAGGAGTAGAGGGCAGAGATGCATCTCCTCTACTATACACGAGGATAACTCCTGTTCAAGGAACCTGTCAGCATGGAATAGACTGCTTTTATCTTGGAGATGAAACAGCCACATTTTAAGAGAGCCTTAGAATAAATATTCAACCATATTGAATTAGAGTTAGTAAACTATCAGTTTTATCTGAAGGAGCATCTCTGATCAAAATTGTTTGTATTTATGGATGTGGTATGATACTGTTGTTGCTATATGGAAAAGCGTCCCTTCATGTCAGCTAACTGCCTTTTCACCAAAACCACACAATCCCTTCTACACCCAACAGTGCAAAACTTGTAAATATTTAACTGATGACTGTGACAAACGAAAGCTTGAAACCAACACCGCAATAAGGCACAACAGAAGTCATACACAGAGCTGATCATCATTGCTTCAAAACACAGAGTAAGCAGTTACAAAAGTAAAATCTACCTCAAAGAAAAATGCTTTATTGAAGGCTGAGAAATTAAAGAAAGGCTTCTGCCTGGTCCCTTCTGTCATTCCAAGCCCCTAGTCTAGGATCCTCGCTGGGAAACAGACATTCTGATAAAGCACCAGCTTTCACAAGTTGAAAAAACCTTCTATCTGTGACTTCTAGCAGACAAGCACTTGTATAACATATTTGCCTCACTGCTGTCTCAAAAAGTTTTTGCATGTCTTCTTTTTCTTTTCTTCTTTTTTTTTGTTAAATTTAGAAAGTATCACAGGCTAGACCAATACTGGCACATTCCAGCAAGCTCTACTGCTGCTTCTGCATAAACCACCTCTCTTCCCTCTTCCTTCAAAATTACTTCCCACTCTAACTCTCAATTATCTTAGATCACTTCATAGGTTTCACCAAAGCGTCCGAAGAGAACTAATGGCATTTCCTGCATTCCCCTCTCCAAACTGGCCAGTTGTTTCAGCTCCCAACACTCTCCCACGGAGCAGAACCACGTATGGGCACAGGACTCACGCGGGTGAATGAAACCCGGCGGTCCTCTCAGTAGGGAAAAAGAATTTCACATGTCACAGAACTGAACATACTCCAGGTTTCTCCCCAGTCTTGAAACATGTCTACCTCTATACTTTCTATTTGAGGTAGGAATTTAAATTCTGAGCCCTCATGACTCAAAGGCTGCACAGTCCTGTGCCCTGCCTAGGGCAGCCTCAACATGTGAAGAAACAGCGAGGCAGGAGTTCGAATCAAGTGAGGGAAGGAGCATGAAAAAGCAGGTGAGCCATTACATTTCCATATTCCATACACACAATGACATGAGTCATTCTATTCTAGAGGATGTTACCCTGATTCACTTCACTGGGAAAAAGCTAACCGGGGCTGTTCAACACCTCTAGCGAGCAGATCAGTGACAAGCAGGGCGACACCAGCAACCAGAGAGTGCTGACAGAGAAAGGGGATCATCACACAAACAGAAATTAATAACCCTTCTGTACCGTGAATGAATGGCACATTACAGCAGAGATCTGCCTGGATCAAGGCCCCTGCCTGCACGTCCTGAGTATATCCCTCCTCTCCAGCTGCCGGGACCCCAAAGGAGAAGCCGGTGTCCCCATGCTCCGAGGTGCTTCTCAATCTTCTCTGACATTCCAGGTTTCCTGCTTCCTTCGAACTGTGCAAAAAGCGAGGAGCTGGGTCCACCCAGTTCTTGTTCCAGGCCCATGAAGAGCCCCACTGCTCAACTCCTTCCCACCCTACCCCATTTGCTCCCCAGCTCCCCGACCTTGGCCTAAAGAACAGCTCTCATTTCACCTCCAACTTGTCTCTTCTAAGTCAGCATAGCGTCTCCTTTTCAGAAAACCTCAACTCTGAACTAGCTTGAAACACATGATCATGTTCAGGAAAACCGAAATTTTTTTTTTTTTTTTTTTTTTTCCCCCTCTTGCCCCAAAGTCTTCAGGCTAATTTAAGAGCTAACAAAATTGATGGGTTTTACCTACCTTTATGTCCCAACATCACAGCAAGATGTAAAGGAGTGTTTCCTAAAATAAATAACAGAAACAAAAAGATATTAGATTCAAGGTAACAGAATCCACTGCAAGCCCTTCAGGCATCTGCTCATCCAACTCAAACGCTACGTGTTAAGGAACTTGAGTTACATGACCTAACCAGGGAACACACCAGAGCTGTTACATTTATTTTCACAAGTATAATCCAAATGCTTGCTTAGAAAAATGTATCTGAAACATTTCATGGGCCAAGAGAGCTTTTTTTTTTAAATGACATATTGGAACCTACGCCAGCCAAAGAGGTCCAACTGCATCCTCAAGAAAGAGAGAACCCAAACCTCTGTGCTTACCATGGTCCGGAAAGTCTGATATTTTACAAAGAATGATGTATCTAGGTTAAAAGCTGCTCAAAGATATGATACTGATTAAAATTTTAAGAGCCTATTATCAAAGATTTCAGCATAAATTTTTTACTAATACAGTATTGGACAGATTGTGAGGTAACAGTAACACCACTACAAAAAAGCCTGTTGGATATTTTAATGCCTTGTTTCCAAAGAAAGCTTCCAAGGTTATCAGCAGATATTACAAACATGACCCTATTTTCCTGGCTCTGCATATGACACATTTTGTACTTCTGTTCTTAAATATGCACTGTAAGGTACAGAGAGTTGTTTTTCTGGATGAATGCTGCCACCAGAATTCTGATGCATTCATTTATGTAGCTTAAGGAGGCAAAATTCTTCCATTTAATTGTATTACTCTGTTTCTATGTTTAACCACTTTCTTAGCAGAGTTAACAGAAAAAATGATGGAAACCCAATTTCTCTTGCAACTCTAACAAATGCACATGATTTTAGGGTTATTATTTTACAGTATTACATGATCAATAAGTACTCGCTAGACGCAAAGGATGATGTACTGTACGTCTGAAAGATGCAATCCAAAACACCGAGAGGCTGCCGTGGAAAGTCAGTGCCAGCACACTGCAGTATCATGAAATCTCCCATCAAGATAGGCGAGCAGGCAGAGTTTCTAAGTGGTTTTGAATGAGCTATTATTCAACATACAGTACAAATTATTCTTGCGGGTCACTAGCAACATCAGACAGCAACATCCTAGTTCATTATGCACACTCTAAGCTAACCTCAAATCTTCTATTAATAGATTTTGTAACATCTGTGAGCCAAAACATAATTTAGAGTACTGGATGCAGCCATTCTTTGTTAAGTGACTGAAATAACAACGTTACTGAGGAACAAACTCGAGAATGAGCCAAACCATGTACTCAGAAAATTCAAATTAGGCAAGCCAAGGGTAAACATTTTCCTCACCTTATCAAGCACCGAAACAAGATAGATAGATATATATGTATCTATAAAAATAGCTTTACATTGAGTTTTCTCTTACATTAATAAACCTTGAAATTTAAAAAACCACCCCACCTTCCAAATGGTGAATAAAACAGAGCCAGACAGCTCCAGTAGCTATGACAGCTCAGCATAACGGCAAGAAACAACAAAAGGAGAGCTAGCCAGGCCCCTGACAGCCTTCCCGAGAACTCTGTCGGGTTGCGTTCCGCAGATAAGCAGAAAGCCCAGTTGTGTGATAACACGTATCATTTCAAAACTCCTCTGGACGAGGTTCTGAGCAACCTCATCTAACTCCAGTGCTACCTGTGCTCTGAGCAGGATGTTGGACTAGATCACCTCCAGAGCTCTTCCAGCATGGATTTTTCCTTGACTCAACAATCATCTGCCCACCGAGAAGTATGCAATTCAAAAATTAGGTAGGAAACTTGGATACAGCAGACTGGGGGGGTGAGGAAGAGCAGCACTCAGAAAAGAGGACTATGCAGAATAACTAATGAAGTGCAGAAACTAGAAACTATCAATTCTAGAAGGGGGAAAAAAAAAAAAGCAAAAAAAAAAAGCTATTTACGAGGAAGCTGAAAAGAGGTGACAACCTGCTTCCTGGTCTTTAGCCAGTAAGTGCCTGGCAAGGAGAAGTCTACAGTTTAACAAACATCTGTGAAAGAAAGAGGTTAGCTGCTGTGCCAGAGGGAGAGGAGCCACACGAACAGGTAAGCCATGAAAGCACCTTTAGGAAAGGGGGCAAGAAGGAGAGGCAACGCAAATGCGTAGAAAAGGGACATTATGAAACTTGGGAGAAAAGACCGTAGCTCCTCCCGTTCTGGGGTACCTGGCCAGCCAGGCCTTTTTCTCCCTGCCTGCGATAAACTCCTCTCCAGACACCTCCGAGCAGCCACGCTCAGTGAGCGGGGACACAAGGCAAAGCCTGCGGACAGAGCGGCCTAACTATGCATACGCAGTGACCTCACGGGACGTTTTTATTCCATCGAAATTCCACTCCTGATTTACAAGAGTACCTCTCTGACCTCCTCCCCGAAGGGAAACAGCCTCAGCAAGAGTTGAGATGCAAGGCGAGCTTTGGCGCATCCCAAAATCAAACCCAGAAGAGCATTTTGTACAGTTCCATCACTAAAAATCCATCTTAAGATCTGAGAAACCTAGGGAGGTCTTGATGCTCTTTGGGCCAAACAAAATGAGTTTTATCAGTAGCAAATTTAACTCTGACTTATCAAAATAAGCCACCCAGACTGTGTAAGGTTCTACAGCGCAAAATGAAGCCGCGATGGTGAGGAACCACTCAGCTCATAGAACGTCTCCATGCAATCCTCAGGCTTCTCCCAGCAGAAAGGCTCCTCTTTTGTTTAATCCTAGTCTTAAGCAGAGGTAAGCTTCTCGCCCAGGAAAACAGAGGGGAGACAAATGCCTCGGAAAAGATGAGACCAGTGCCGCTGCAGTCTCCCACCCAGCAACAACTGCCAACCACCCCGAGCGAGCAGCGGCATGTTGCAGGGCGTGGAGCGGGCAGCAGCCAGAGCTCTTCCACCTTTCCTGTCATCTCAGAAACCCGCTGGCCGGCGGCACAGGTTAACTTCTACTTCTCCGGGGTGGGGGGACAGGACCTGAAAATGTAAACCTGACCCCAGCAGCTGCTCAAGCAGAGCCACACTGTCACGCTCTTGCTAGCACTTGGATGACAAAAGTCCCGGGCGGATACGTTAATCAGTGCCAGTATTTAGAGGACTCAAAGGGAACCACTCCACTGGAATTCTACTGCACTGCAACCTCAAGTTCCACCGATCCTGAAACACAAATCACATCAAATTGCTTCATCGGGGCAAGAACAGCTGCGGCTTCTCTAGAACATTTACTACCCGGAGCGTAGAGAGTAACGCTAGGTAAAATTAGTCTGATGAAAAAAAAAAAAGATGAGCTTTAACAGTAATCAATTTTTCCTAGCCAGTGCACAGCACAACTAAGCGTTTCTGCCCGGACAGGCAGGAGAGGGCAGTTTCACTTTGTTCAGTGGCACAGACGGTTGGAACAGCTCGAGATTTTCAAGGAACCACAGCACAAGCCACAACAATAAGTGCGAGACATCGTGAAAACAAGCAGCTTTACAGGAGACAGCGGCTGGAAAGAGGGAGAAGGGTGCAAATACACAACTATTTTGTTTACCTACGTAAGAGAGCTGTAATAAAAAGGGCACTGTAAATAATTAAGCGGCTGACGTGTACTTTTGATGACTTCTATGCAATTTAATGATAACGTGTTAGATATGATCATTTCTACACACTGACTAGAACACGAACGGGCACATACCTGAACGGTGGCAATCAAATTCATTCTCTTTTGGCTTGATTCACCATGTAAACAAATCCCTTGTTTCCTTTCCATCTAAAGAAAGCTTCATCAATATCTACAGCCTTGGGAAAGGAGCACACACACTTCCCAAGTCGCACAGCCTACAGGGTCTTATTTCAAGAAAGCAGTGATATAACAGTGCCCGAACTCCTGCGTGCCCTGGGTGCGCACACGCAAACAAAACCAGTTTGCACAAAACTGCACAGAAAAGACACCGCTCAGCCGCACGCACGTGTGCAGCTTTGAACCTTTGGTTGGGCGCCTGGCACACCTGCGAGGAAGCTGACTGTGTTTTCCAAGAAGAGTTCGGGAAGATGATTTCTCTATTCCAGAATACAACATGTTTTTACTCTGAATATATGTTTAAGCTCTTAAATAAATGCCTATTATAGTAAAAAGTAATCTAATAGGTATACATAGAAGCTTCCCCCAAGAAGCTCATTGTTTTTTTGGAATAATGACACCGGCCCTCCGATGGGTCGTGGGTTTTTAGGTTAATTTTGAGAGCGAGGCAGGCTGCACTCAATTCACTGACACAGCCCGTGTTTGTTTTATCAGAACACCAAGAGTTTAACATTCTACGGGACTCGGCTTTTCTGCACTTAACCTCACAGTAAAAACGGGACTGAACTATAAACTGTAACTGTTACTAGAAGTTCTTTCTCCCCTCTGTCACTTCCACATCATTTACTAGGATTTGCCTGGCTTATTTCTGAGCATAATTGTAAACTGAAGTTATCTACCCCAAATAACTCACAATTCAAATATGTAAACAAGTGACAGATGGATACAGGCAGAAAGAAAACAACAACAAGGAAATAGTAGTCAGGCCTTTGGTATGCCAGGACAGGTTTTCTTGTTGGGGTTTGTTTTGAAAACTTAATAGCAAAGGAACAATTAAAGTAAAAACTTGGAGGAAGATGGTAAGACACAAATCCCAAACCTTTCCTACTGCAAACAGCACCAAAAAAGCAGAAAGACGCTTATTTGAATTTTTTAATAGATATATATACACGTGCATGAATATATACTTTAAAAAGGATGGGATCAATGTCTGTGACACACATTGAAGATGTCAGCGCAGCAAAGATGGATCAAGAAGTGCCTTCAAAGTAAAGATTAGCTTCTGATGATGAGTTATTGGAGGAGGTGTAGGGGAGAAGTCAGCAGAAGGGATCTACTGAGAAAAATTTTCCCGAGTATGTTGCTTTCATTCCACCCATATTGGCTGCAACGTTTGGAATGAGGATGACGAGATAAATATATCTGTAGCTATCTTTATAACGTGCTTAGAAAAACGTTATGACAGTTGTAAGAAATACTTACTCCTCCCTGTCTTGAGAAAACTGAGCTGTGTATTA